GTAAGTCACAAAAATATGTAGGGGTGAGTACTGAGCCCACCAATATACAGTACTACAAGCCCTTCAGGGCTACAGGAATGGCTGAGAACATGGGTCATTGGATAGGACAGATGGGAACTGAAATCCTAGTTCTGCTGCCCAGATCACAAACTCTGTGACTCCTTGTAGCTTTGTTTCCGTTGACTGTTTTATGGGGATAAGAACTTTACTTACTAAGGAGATAATATGTGAAAAGAATTTAGAACGACACCCGTCAGTACTGAGAGCTCTGGGAATGTGTATTAGTCTTCATCTGTAACTATGGTTATTATCAAATTGTTGCATAATTAATCATGGCAAGATATATAGCCTACGAACAAGCCCATTTCCATGCTTTGGCACACCAGGGTGTCTTGAATCCAGGAGTGACTACTCACCTGGGTTTGTCTTGCCTACCTGGGTGGCAATCTACTGAAAACAAACCATCTGGCTGGAACTGTTTCCATTTTCTCTTTAGCTGAGCCCAGAGGCATGCAGAGCCACAAGCACATTTCAGAAATTTGAAAAAATAAACAATGAAATGTTTCATGCTTGCCACACATGTCTCCCCACCGTCCCCCCCATGACTGAGTTTGGCTGGTTCTCAGCCATAAAAAAAATTTACAACAAGAAAAAAAAAGAAAGAACAGGTTTGACAGCTGAAAACTTAACCCCATCCCCTAAAATTTCCCAACCCAAGGTTACGCTGTGGACAAATGTTCTAACCATCATGAAACTTCTCATAATGACTTTGCTCATGAAAGTTTAAACAGATGCTTCAGTTGGTGAAAGTGTTCCCACCCAGGCACAAGGTGTTACAAATCATCAGACCACAAGATACACTCAGACAAAAGGGAAGATGTGTCACCTCCTGCCTCTGACTGCTCAGTTGTGTACGCAGTGGGTCTGTCCAGCAGGTCAATCAGGTTTTGTTTATTCCTTCCATAAGAATCTCGACAGCGTCAGTGTTAGAGCAGTTTCCAAAGAGATTGCTTGGCTTTTCAATAGTTTATTTTTAAAAATATACACAACGGGGGGCTGGAGAGATGGCTCAGAGGTTAAGAGCACTGACTGCTCTTCCAGAGGTCTTGAGTTCAATTCCCAGCAACCACATGGTGGCTGACAACCATCTACAATTCAATCTGGTGCATATGTAATAAATAAATAAATCTTTAAAAAAATATACACAACAGGACATGCCTTTTTCTCTAGGTTATTTTATAGTGCAATTTCATGAAAGCAAGGTTCGCTATTGGGTGGGTTTGGAAATTGCAGGAAGTTACATCTCACCCATCCTTGGTCCTTGGTTCTTTCATATGTGTTTCTTCCTCACCTTGGAATGTGCCCTGTCCACCTCAACCCAATTCCTAGAAGCATTAGCATTTTTAACTCTTACTCTCCCCCAGAAAGCCTTCCTGAGCCTTGTTGGCCAGGATGGTGTCTCTGAGTTCCCATGGCACTGTGAACTGATATACGATGGCACCACACCCTGCCCACGAAGACACTTCCCACTTGCTGAAGTTCTGTAAGTATCACTCTCTACCATGCAACTTCAAAAGCTGTGAGTTCCACGCCGTTCTCCTAACACAGAGCTGGGGCTCAGCGAGTACCTGTGGAACGAATGCACAGATGATTCCCCCAAAAGTATGAGTCTATGTCATTCTCCAAGGACAGAGGTGGGACTCAGCAAGTGCCTGTAGAATGAATGCACAGATGACCCCCCCCCAAAAACAATGCATGCCTCCCTCTTCTCCGCTACGTCTGAACTTCTACAATTGCTGCCACTTCTAGTTCCCGAATATCTCCCAGATCTTTCTCTTTCCTTGTAGAGAGCCTCGAAGTGCCGCACCCTTAAGATGGCTTCCGCCTTCTGCTAGCCCAACAGCAGCTGCTCTCTATGATAAACAACACCTGTATTTTGTTAAGGCTGGATACCAGGCTTGCTTCCGCGTACGTGGACCTATCTGCATGTTCCACGTGGCATACTGGCGTTGGCCGCCCAAGGGCTTTTAAGCTGTGGGTTGGGGCTCCCTGGCGCTCCCCAGGAAAAGAAGATTGTTCAAGGTTCCTGAATAAACTGCTTAAAGAAGAGTCTGGGCATTGCGTCTTCCTTGCTGGTCGAGGCGGGTGCAACATTTCCTAACACTTCTTCAGTTTTTCTCAGTTAAAGACTTATTACCTGCAGGCTAACATTCAGTTTCTGACTACTCAGCTGCATACACTGGCCCCAAAGAAATGAAATGCAGGTCTATGGGAAGCACTCAGTGACTCCAGGCTGCCTACAGTACAAACAAGGTTTGTTCCTCCTAAGGCAACCCATCAGCTTTTCACTCCTTGTGAAAAATTAAATTGTTCTTTGAGCCCAAGACAACAAGAAAAGGACAAGTACACAAAAAATGTGGGGACAGTGGGAATTGGGGACCATTTGAGGGACAATATGGAAATCTAGCACAGTGAAAACTTCCTAAAATATATGAAGGTGATCCTAACGATGACTCCTAACGATGTGGGACACGGAGTCTCAAATGGCCATCTCTTGCCTCTCAATGAGGCTTCCAGTTGCTGGACTGGGTTGTATTCAGTTGAGGTTTGGCCAAGGGGTCCCATGGAAATCCAAAACAACCCAGGTTGCTGCTGAGACAATGGTTTGCTCTCCAAAAACTGACAGTAGGGCCCCATTGCCAAAGACAACAACCGCACTTAGTAGGAGCATTGAACATGGAAAAAACAAGCTGGTGCCTACATGGGCCTTCACCCTTATGTTCTAGTGTCTTTTGGTGTAGGAAGCTACTCTGCAAGCCACCAAAAGAAAAACGTAAACACCAACACAACCACAAAATCTTTGACCTACAATCTGTCCTGCCTGCAAGATAGGCTAGGGCAATGGGAGTACTGAATTCGTGGGAGTAGCCAACCAATACCCGATTTGACTTAAGGCCCACTCCATAAGATGGAATCCATACCCAGCTCTGTTTGGGTGATCAAGAACCAGAGACCTTACACATCCACCAGTTTCTGAATAGATAGCTATATTGTAATAAATCCAAATAAGCACTGTTCAGCGACATCAAAGAAGAAACTGGTGAAACATGTGTAAGTCCTAAAATTATTTTGTTGAGAGTAGCCAGGCAGATTGTATACTTACATGTGAAATTCTAGAAGACACACAACCACAGCTAGATGTCATGTCCAGCATGGTATGGCATGTCCAGGGATGGATCTGACTGGGGTGGTGAGGAGATAAAGAAAGGGCAAACATATACACCTGCAGAGAAGCTGGGAGCAGGTGGATTGGGCTCTCAGATGGAGGAAACAAAGTATCCTGGAAGTGTCCCATGATTATTATACAGAGTTGAATAGGGAGGTGGGGTTGTTGCATACAGCTGGACAAGGAGGTGGGTTACTACATACAGATAAACAAGGAAGAAGGGCTTATGGTATACTACTGGAGCAAAGACACAGGTTCAGCTAATCTTAGTAGGAGCAGTCCTTGGAAGGAAGCAGGTCATAAACATCTATCTAAGAGAAGACAGATACAGTGGTCATTTTCTGCCAATATCCTCACACGAATCAGAGGAAGGCTCTGTCATCCCCCTGAGCATCACCTGTTAGGGAAGGGATTTTACCACTCCTGCGGGTCTGAGGCTAAGGTTCCTGACACAGGCGTGTCAATAACACACCTTCACTCAGGACTTCACGACTCAGGGCTCCCTCCACTCCCCATAACTGGAAGCAGAAGAGCATTGCTTGCCAGTGGGAAAGGAGACAGATTAAGAAATGGACTACAAAGAGGTCCAAGGGAGCCTTTGTGTGATGAAAACAGTCTCTGCCATAGTTGTAGTAATGGTTACTGCATACATTTTCAAAGTTCATTCAGCTACACATTTAAATTGATAATTTATTACTTACACAAAGAAGCCCCAACTTCCCCAGATAGAAAACACCCATGGCCTCTTAGGAGCAAACAGATCTAACTCAGCCTCTGGTTCCCAAGAACTCCTCAACTTAACACCTCTGTCTCAGACCAGACATACCATGGGTGCTACAGAAGAATCCCACAATGCACTTCCCCTGACACCTCGAGGTTCCAATTCTGCTGCCTAACTCAGAAAGCTGCTAATACAGCCCCAGTGAAGATTACTCTGTAAGAGACACGATTACTCTTAGTTGGCTGGGATACAGGCTCTTAGCTATTCTACTGTGACCAGCTTCCCAAAAGTACAAGGGGACAGGATTGCTTTTACTCAACATTTATAGTCAGCTTCTCTATGACTAACGGACTCCTTGTGGTGATGAGATCTTTCTTTTGTCATGACCCCGAGCTTATGAAGTACCCAACACATGCAAGCTATCTGGTGGACACTGTCTTGTCTACTTCCCACACGAATTCTGCTAGTGACAGGCGTCTTTATAAAGATCAGTGACACACCATGATTTAACATCTGGCTAGTATAGATCTGCTTCCAAAGTCATTTGAAATATATGTGAAATCTGGACTCCTCACTTGAACTGTAGACTAAAGCTGGGTTAGAATTTGTACTTCTCTGAGTTGAGTCCTTTCCTAGACACTTTGTGGCTGTGTGCAGAACTAGACAGTGGGTTCCTGTCTAGGTTCATTTCCTTGACTCCTAATGAAGAAACTAGATTCTACATTATTGTACTTTGAAATGATTTTTGAAATGTTCATAAAATTAACACAGTGTCAATTGTCGGCAGGATTTCTAGCTCCAAAGGGAATACACACAACTTTCTCTTCTGTTCAGATTGACTTTTCCACACTGTGGGTCCTACTCTGCCCTTGAGTGTGTCTTCCATTCTTTAGCGTGGTGAACATTTTAATGGGAAGAATATATGAAGCTTCAGGCTTTAATGAGTCTACAAGGACAGTCTCAACAGATTCATGTTCTCTCCCTCTAACTAGTCTCAAAATGGCCACCTGACCAGAATGCCCTCTGCCAGAAAGTACGTCCTCTTTCACTCACTTGCTCTGGGTACCTGCTCCCAGTGATCTCCGCTACAGTGTTGAATGAGTCCGCATCCGGGTAGGTCTTTGCTCCCATCTCCAGGTGAACGACAATTTTGTTCCCACGAGACGCCATGCGTGACATCATTTCTGCGTCTTCCACTGTGATACAGGCTGTCGGAATCTTGGGCACACCATCTTCATATCTCTGAATACCTGTGTGAGGGCTTGAAAAAATCGTACCACCAGATTATCCTTAAAAGTGAAAACTTATGCAAACCTTTATACATCGACCCAGTGTTTTACTTAGGCACGCCTAGAGTAGAAACATTTGCTTTTTATATGAATATAGCTTTTGGTTTTGATAAAACTGCACAAACCTAAGTTTATTAATTAGACATTTAAAAGATTGTATTTTTTTGTAGTTTGGACAATCCTAATGTGGCAAATTGGCATAATCTCTTTGGGATAGTGACAATGCTGTCAAAACCAAAGAATGAACACATGTAGAAACTGAAGACTAGGGAACCTCCAAATCCCATCAGGGTTATAGACAAGATCCACATGGGCAGAACAGAATATACAACCCTGTACAACCCTGTGACGACGTAGAAAGTTGCATAGAAAAAAAAACAAATAAATGGTAAAACAACCAAGAAATACTTGTGTTGCTATGAAAAATATTATTTTATCAGAAGGAAAGGAAATCTATTCTAGTTATGGCACTAAAAGAGACAATTATCTGTGATAGCTAATATATATGTATATATATATATATATATATATTCATGTCTTCATGTGTAGGTCCACACACATGCGTGGGCACACCTGAATGTGTACAACTGCAAGTGTGAATGTATATGTACATTGGAGGTCAGAAGTTGATGTTAGTTATTTTCCTCTAGTGTTCTTTGCTTTGTTTATTGAGTCAAGGTCTCTTGATGAAGAATCCAAAACTTGCTGATTCATCTAACCTAGGCAGCTAGCATACACCTGAAGGTCACCTGTTTCTGTCTCCTGAGGCTCTGGGAAAACAGTCAGGCAGGCGACATTTACCCACATTTTATGTGGGCCCTGGGAATCCAAGCTCTGGTTCTCATACTCTCATGGCAAGCATTCTGACCTTTGAGACATCTCTTCATTCTCTGTGATAGTAAGCTTTTTACTTGCTTGAAGAGATACATAGAAGGTTAGTAAAGTGCACTTCTGAATGCAAACGGTATCGCACAAAAGCTGGGGCCCATATAAAATAAAAGAGGAGTAAGCCCTTCACCACAGACTTTCTCTGTGTCAAGTTGCCATGCAGTGGGAGCCTCTGCCTTTTTCTCCTCTGTCATGATATACTGATATAGCTTCAGCATAAAGCAATGGGTACAGCCAACCTTGGACTGAACCGATAAAGCTAGGAGCCAAAATAATTCTTCCCTCTCTTAAACTAAGTGTCTGTCACGGTGACCGAAATTATAAATAACCCAGAAAATTAGTAAGATCAAGATGCTAAAGTCAAGCATACAGTGTTTCACACAGACAAAATCAAGAATGAAAATACAGTCCAATGGGAGAGTCAACAGACACTTCTCCAAAGAAGATAGAACAATGCGTAGGAAGAACATGGAGAATTGTCAACAGGGAAATGCAAATCACAGCCACGAGGAGATGCTATCTCACACTCACCAAAGCAGTCCTGAGGGAAAGGGCAGGTGGAAATAAGTCCTGGAGAGGATGTGGGGAAGATGGAATAGTCACTGCTGTGACAAGGAATGGAAATGGAAATCTACTTTGGGAAGCCATTTACTGTCCCCTCAAAAACTAAGCATATACTTAGCATCTGTGAAGCCACAGCTGTCTGTGAGTTCGAATACTCAGGCCGCAGTTTGTGGTGCTATCCCAAGAGGATGTGGAAACTTTGGGACCACTGTGGACGGTCATTGAAGGTGATGCCCTTGTAAGATTCAAGTTCAATCTCTCTGCTTCCTGATCTTGCAGACAATTGAGAAACCTCCTCCCACAAGCTCTTGTCTCCATGAGTTCCATCATGCCTTCCTGGAATCTTCCTGAGGCTGCATTGGTCAACTATCCCAGTGCCAAGAAAAACCACTAATATACCATATGACCCAGTGTTTCTATATATACCCAAGAGTACTGAAAAAAAAAAACCAAGACAAAACACATCCACTCAAAATTTTCACAGCAGCATTCTTTTTTCTCCCATTTAGGTTTTAACCATAATCTGAACTTATTTTTTATTAAATATAGACTTTTCATATAGCATACAGCAGCATTATTCTTAACAGTCAAAACGCACCTGGTAGATATCCATGGGTAAGTAATATGGGGTGTATCCATACTGTGAAATATTATCTACCCATTTAAAATGATGGTTTAGTACATGATGCAACAAAGATGAACTTTGGAACATTATCCTAAGTGAGAGAAGATCCAAATGTACACATATTATAAGATTTTACTTATATGACATGCCCAGAGCAGACATGTCTATGAGTATAGAAAACAAAATGTAGTTTATGGATGGTAGACAAGAGGGCAATGTGAGTGAATGCTAGTGGGAATGGAGTTTCTCTGGGGTAATAATGAAAATGTCCTAAAATCAGTGATAGTGGTTACACAGCCCTTTGAACATATCAAAACAACAGCATTAAGCAAGTTGCAGTCAGACCTCATAACATTTCGATTATATGCAAGTAAAACATCCATTTATAAAAATCAAGCTGTAAGTTTCAGACTTTAGAGGAGAGTATCTTGACATTTTTCTCATTGGAAAATTGTGTTTCTGTATACCTAGTGTATGAGATTTTATGATAGTGTAAACAAAACTTAAAATGAACACATAAAAAAAATGAAACTTGGAAGCTGCAACCAGGTCCTCAAATCTCATTAAATTCTTGTGCATCTTACAAAGGTGACATAATTTGAAGATGCCTGAATATTTTTCTTATCTCTACATAAAATAAGTGCTGTGTTTAAGCAAGTAAGTTTGAAATTTCCCACCTGATTGCCATACATACATGCCTCTAATACCTTCAAAGCTAATCACTGCTAACTACTTCTTTCTAAAGACACTCGGCTCTTTGCGTTGCTGAGGATTGAATGAGCAAGCCTCACAGAGAGTTGCCTGCTGCTGTGGAAAGCATGTGACAAGATGAGTTGGTTATCTGCAGGAGGAAACTGCTGAGCTTTGTAGGCGCAAATAACGCATTGGCTAAGTACATTCAGAGCCCTTGGAGCTTGGGACAGTTTCTGAAGAAAGCATCTGGCCATGAGAATGGCATTCAGACTGGGCTTTTGAAACTGCAGGCTCTTGTGTCTATACTTCTAAAAAAACACCTTTACTGGAGATGTTATTAAAGAAAGACTTTCTCTGTTTAGTAGAAAGTCTTATTTGGCTTAAAAAGTAATTCGAAAGTAACTCTTTTGGAATAATTACAATTGGCTTTATTGTATTTTTTTCTTTTAAATCTAGCACCTTAAAAGTAAATTCGCCGCAGATTTTTAAACTGTCATTAGCAACGGTAAAAGTAAATTAATTTAAGACTTTTATACTGTCATTAGCTACACAAAAGCACAAAAGTTTCTACCATACAATTTCACAAAGGGAAAAACCAAAACAGTCTGTCTCCCCATGAGTTAAGAACAAAAATCCTTCCCAGGAAAATGTGGGATGGGGGTGGGAGCCACGTTTTTATTCCCAACTTTTGCAGTTCAGTTGAAAGGGTAGAAAAGAGGCAGAAAGAGTCATATCCCTAAATCTGTTCCACAGGGAAGAGATGTTGCATGGGGGTGTGTGTTCCCAACAGACATGATCAGTATATATATATATATATATATATATATATATATATATATATATACATTGGTTTTTCAAGACAGGGTTTCTCTGTATTGTTTCCTGGAACTTGCTCTGTAGACCAGGCTGGCCTCAAACTCACAGAGATCTGCCTGCCTCTGCCTCCAGAGTGCTGGGATTAAAGACATGTGCCACCAACACCCGGCTCCATGATCAGTATCTTAAGCTCTACAGACTGCAGTAAGGAGACAGTTTACAGCAGAGGTTCAGAAACAATTGTCTTCCCAAACAGAGCAAGGCAGCCAACGTGGCCAGAGTGTGAAAAGAAGGAAGATGGTCAGGATGCTTAGAGGAAAAGTCAACTCTGAGTTTTAATATCCATGGCACATAGGAACAACTTCTGCCTTCTTTCTCAAGAATATAAAGATGAATAGAAGACTCAAGGACAGCATGAAGTAGTTCCCTGTGAGACACATGAAGACATTTTTTAAATAGCTAAAATTTTACACTTCACAGTTTGGCATTTAAAAAGTCTGACATAAATATTAATTTTTGTTATGTAATTTGTAACTCAACCTCGACATCACAGAACATATGTTTTCCATTTGATTTTGTTTCTTCTTAAACTGTTTTGTTTCTTTATACTTGTTTCATCACATTAATTCAATTCCCCTCTCATTTTCTCTTCAAATATAACATATCTGTAGCAGCATTAAACAAAATTGAGACTTGGATTAAGAAATTATCAATGTATACAGTTTACTTAATAATGATCATGAAAGACACCAGAATCATTCTTTAGCCAAAGAAATGTCCTGTGTGTTAATTGGGTGCATTGAGACAAGCCTGTAGTCTTAGGGAGGGTACCCAGGAGGCAGGTAGAAGCCATCTTTGTGTTACATAGCAAAACAATAAGTGTATCAATGACAGAGGATAGAGAGATAGGTAGATAATATATAGGTAGATATGGTAGATTATTGATTTATAGATAGGTAGGTAGATAGATAGATAGATAGATAGATAGATAGATGACAGACAGACAGACAGATGATTGATGGTAGACAGGCTGGTGATGGACAGACAGTCAACGGTTAACTCAGACCACTGCTGTTTCATTTAGTATCAACCTAAATATCCATTGTACATTATCTTTAGAACCCCATGTCTTCTTACCACAACAGAATTGCAGGATTACAACTCATAGCATGTGGTACTTCTTGGCTTTCTGGCTAACATCAAGTGAAGACATTTGAAAATTTTAACATTCATTATTCATTAAAGTTTTAAATAAAAACAGAATAGAGCTGAGGAGCTAATTCAGTGAGTAAAGCTTTAACTATCCAGACCTTAATTTAAATCCTCAGAAGCCTGACAGAGCAGTATGTGTCTGCAATCCCAATTCTCCTATGGCAAGATGGGAGG